CTTCTTCTTCTGTATCATCTGGAAGATCTTCAACTTGCCTGTTCCGAGGGTCTATTAAGAAAATCTCCTCATCAACATCTGGTTCAGACAGATCTACGAAAGTGTCCTGTTGAAGTGGAACATCCTCAACCCCTACAATCTTGCCCCTCGGAGCCACTTTAACTACAGCTAAGCATGAAATTCCTGTTGATCAAACTCGAGGGTATGGCAGAAACGTTACCTGTTCTGCTTGAGAAGCTAATATAAATGGCTCAAACCTGTTGTACCGTCGTGATTTGTTCACGTCAACAACTCCAAACTTGATTAGACAATAAAGGAGCTGGTCTCTTGTGTCACGTCTAGCCACGTGAATGGATTAAATTAACCTTATAATATTATTACTTTTTTTTTCAAAGTAAATAACTCATAATTCGGGTTTCCAGCAATGGACAACCCAATATATAAGGATTTACAACACTATACTAAAATTTAAGAGACCCACATCTCCAAGATGATGATGCTCTTATGTTTGAATGATGATGTGTTGTGATTGAAAGAAGGAATGAAGATCTATTTATAGGAAAATTTTGGGCTTTACAACGCTTTTACGACGACATTTTACGACGAATTTACATTCAACAATAATATTACGACGATTTTACGACGATTATACGATAAAATCTTTCATCTACAATTGTTAGGTAAACATGTTTTAAATGTTCTTCGCCTAACTTCTTCGTCGACGTAAAATCGTCGTAATATGTACATCGAAATGCAGTCGTCGTATATTCGTCGTAATTTTGCATCTAATTTACGACGATTTTATATTTACTAGCAAATCTCTCGTTATCGATGTATATTCGTCGTAAATTGTACGTCGAGTTTACGACGATTTTTTTATACGACGGTTTTACGACGGTTTTTAAATTTGACGTAACATCGTCGTAAAATCGTTGTAAGTTTGCGACGATTTTAAAACCATCGTAATGGACCGTTGGAAAACAATTGTTTTCTTGTAGTGATATCTCATATTCATAGTTTCTTTTTTAGTTTTTGATTTCTAATTCTGGTGTTCTTTATTCCTCTTTGTAGTTCTTTGGATGTTTTATATTCAACAACTGTAGCAAATAAAAAAAAACAAAACAGGTTTATGACTATTCTTTTCTTCTATCAGTTTAATATTTGTTTATTTTTCTTCATGTTGCAGGTTGAACAAGCAATGGAAATATACTCATTTTTCTCAACTTAATTCTTCAGAAAAAAGAATGGAAAATAAGAACTCCATTAATTTCAGAAGACATAATAAGGACATATAACTCCTCGGCCAACAACAAAGGTGGATCTTTCGTTTTTTAGATTTGATTGTCAAAACTTTCATCAAATTGGAAGTTTGCACTTGGCTCAAAGGACTTTAATTTTTCCAGGTAACTTTTGAAACTATTAACTTCTTACATCTATACTATTATTTGCGAAGTCAAAAATCTTATCTGTCGTCTCCGGAGCAATTCGCTTATGTGTCATTATTAAAATCTATATATGTGTCGTTTTAATTTATTTTGATAGGATGCTCATTAATCCTACGTGTCAATATGTGTAACATGACTTTTTTATCGAGTTTGTTAATGGGCCAACAGATTTATTCTCGGTCATAGCCACTAATTAGTTAAATAGACCACCAACAAAGAAACCCTAAACACTAAAACATCCGTCCTACACTATATATACCCGTATCGTCTACATATGTTTTCACTTACAACAATCGTCACTGTTTTTTGAGGTCATGTTCTTCTTCTTTATTGTTCCTAAACGTCTTTTATATTTTTTTGTTCGTAAGGAGATGTTAATTTTGTATAGATAGCTTATTTTCTTAAATTAACTTGCATTTCTTTGTATAGATAGCCTATTTTCTTATATTCGATTTTTCTATAGATAGCTTAGTTTATTAAATTAACCTTAGCGTCTTTGTATAGATAACTTATTTTATTATATTTGTGTTCGTAAGTATAAATTAACCTGAGCTTCTTTATTATTTTTTCTTAAACCTAGAGTTCATCCCGTAAACTATAACTGATTGGCTCAAATTTTTGGAATCTTATCTTCCCATGGATCTAACAGGTGACTATATATAATAATTGTTGTTATTTATTTTTTTACAAATTTAAAGTGTTCAAAAATATTTTACTTGTTATCCTATCCTACTCATAAATTCTCTCTAATTTATTATTTTGATCTTTTGGACAGGGAAACACGTTTTACCTTACCATTTTGGTAACAAAAAATAAGAAAGACAATACGTATACATAAGATCTATTTTAAATTTGTAAAAAACTAATTAACAATAATTATTATTTATAATTACCTGTTAGATCCACTGGAAGATATGATTTCAAAAAAGTTTGAGCCAATCAGCTATAGTTGCGGGATGAACTCTAGATTTAAGGAATAACAATAAAGAAGCTCAGATCAATTTATATTTACGAACAATAACTGATTACTCCTAACATTGATGAACACAAATATATAAAAAGACGTTTACAAACAATAAAGAAGAGGAACACAATACAGGAATAAGAATGATATGAAGAAGGAGAATGAAGAGATGGCCAAGATGGTTGAAAGTAAACTAAGAGAACAAAATAGGAAATAAGAATGACGACTAATTTATTTCTGAACTTCTACAGCTTTGTTGCAACTTTTGATCATTTTATTATTATTTTACATGTGAAAACGGACGTAATGATCTAATTTCCAATGAGACATCGTTTTTGAAAAGTTGTGTATTGTAAAAGTGTTTCATCTGAATTTGATTTTGATTGAATGAAAAAAGCTTTATGAAACCTCCGTTTGAGGTAGCATAAACAGAGGAAAACAACGATGAAAAAAACATGTTAGCCCACAAATCTTACGTTCTCTTTTTTTTATTATTGCACAAAAATTATTATACTACCTTTAAGGAAATTGATTCTGTACAAACAATGCAACTATCAGTTATAATTCATATTGAAAATAAGAGAAAAAAAAAACTACAGAAGAAATTGAAAGATACAAAAGAAGAAGAAACAGAAAAAGAAAACGAACAGACGACGAAGAAGTAAAAAAAGACAAAGATAAAGTCATATCAATTAAATCCGATAAGAAAAATAAAAAGGCGGATAACCCAAACTAATGAATAAGCACAAGGATAACAAGATGGGGAAGTTGAAGAAGAAGAAGAAGAAAAAGAATCAGACAATGGAGAAGTTAGCGAAAAATAAAAAATGAGAAAACAAAGTAGTAGAAGAATAAGAGGAAGAAGAGGGAGAGTACGAAAATGGAAAAAAGAAGAAGTTGAGATTATGATTATTATGAAAAATAAGTCAAAGAAAATAAGAAAAAGAAGAACAATAATACAATGAGGAAAATCAGAAGAGGAAGCAAAGGAAGTCAAATCAGAAGAGGAAGAAGAAAAAGACGAGATAAGTAAGAATATAGATTAAAGAAAAATCAAAAGAAATAAGACGAAGAAAAAACAAGAGTAAAAGAAGAAGCAGATGTTGGAGAAGACAAAGAGGATAAAGAAGTAGAAGTCAAAGTTGAAGAGGATGAAGATGAAAAAGGAAACGAGGAAGATGAGATCAAAAAAAGAGGAGGAGAAGAAGAGAGAGCCGACTAACAAAAACTTCGAAAATCAGAGGACATATATGTTCTAGATAAGGAAGAAAACCGGAAGTTGAAGATGACAAAGTATGAGAAGGTGAAGATGGGGAAGGAAGCTAAGAAAATATAGAACAAAAAATCAAGTAATACAAAGAAGAAAAATGTGATGAATTATAAGAAGGAAGAAGAACAAGAACAAGATGGATAAAAATAAAAGAAAACAAGAAGAAGAAGTCAACAGATTATAAAAAAGAAGAAGCTCAAGATAATTAAGAAATTAAGGAAAATACTATGAAAAAGAGAAAATTAATAATATAGAGAAGAGGAAGAAAAAGAAGAAGATAGAGATAAAGAAGTAGAAGATGAAGAAAAACCTAAAGAATAATAAGTTAGAGAAGACGAAAACAATAAAAAAGAATAATCTGAGGAGAAAGACTAACAAACCAAAAGAGAATGGAGAAGAACAACTGTTGAAAAACAAAATATGATAAAGAATAAGCCACAGTAAAAAAGGATTAAGAAGAAGAAGAAACATAAATCAAATAAGTTAAGAAAGAAGAAAAGAAACATGTGGAAGAACCGATTAGAATGACAAACACTTGCAAGAAAATAGAGATAATTTTCTGGCGAGGGAGAGAAAAAAGGAATTACAGAAAAAGAAACTTCTGCAATTAATGTTTTAGTAAATGGAACAATATAGTCATTATGGTTATTAGATTTTTTTTGTTGATCGAATGTGTAACATTGTTATTATATTTGTGTTTGGTTTTTTATTTGTAATAAAGTTAATAGTTTAAAGATGTGATCACCCAGTTATATCTTGTGTTAAATCTTCTAACATTATATATTTTACCGAATTCAAAACACATCAACTATTCTATCTTGGAGTTTTGGAATATTGGATCGGTGCTCTCTTTGCCTTTGTTGTTGTTTTTTTTTAAGTGTGATGAGTTACAAGTTTTTTGTGTTTCACGTTCGATAGTATTATGTAAATTATTCACAGTATTATTATTTTCATCTGTTTAAGTTAAACATCTAAATGTGATCTCTTTACGCATTATTAACTGTTCAAAATTATAAAAATTATAGTATGTGATCATCACTCATTCATTCTCGAGACAAATAATAAAACTTTCATTTTTAACACATTTCCGCCCGCACATGGTGCGGACTACCACCTAGTTTACATTGTTTATGGATTACTACATTAAATATCCCATTGTTAATTTCAGTTATATATAATTGTGAATATTTCATGTTTAATTTTTCACCCATTTATTCTTCAATATTTTTTTCCCGTACGGGTCCTAATACTAGTAATCATATAAATTATAGAGTAGGTAATTAAGGCTCTGAAGTTTTTGATTCCTGCTCGAGCGTTTTACATGTCGCCGTCTCCAGTTAACCATTCAACCGCCACAAGCTTCACCAAGGAGCCGTCGTCGTCACCACTGGATCTGCCATATCTCCCTGATGAGTTACTATTGAATTGCTTTGCTCGGGTCTCCAGATTTCTCTACCCAACTCTTTCCTTAGTCTCCAAGAGATTCCGCTCTCTCCTCGCTTCACTTGAGCTTTACAACACCCGAAAGCTTTTAAGCCGCACAGAGAGTTGTCTCTATGTGTGCTTATGGTTTGGTGAACCATATTGGTTCACTCTTTACCGGAGATCAACTCACCTAAACCCTAACTCTAACCCTAAATCACAATGGTCTACTCCATGTTTTAAACAATTTAGAAACATCATGTCAAGTGACAATCTTTTAGTCTCAGTGCCAACTCGCAATCTTCCTCCTCACTTTTTTGGGGCTCTTACCACAATTGGTTCTAATATCTACATGATTTGCGGAGACACTAATGGTGAACCCTCGCCTAAGGTATTCTTCATGGACTGTCTCTCTCACACCTGGCACGAAGCTCCAAACATGCTGACAGCTGGGAAGTGGCCTCAGGTAAGTGTTCTTGATGGTAAAATATACGTAGTAAAAGGCGGCAAAATATGCAGTTCCTCGAGTTTGATCGAGGTTTTCGATCCTAAAACCGAAACATGGGAGCATGTGCCAAGCCCTGGACCAGAGATACACGGGACATACATAAAAGATAGTTTGGTCATCAACGGAAATCTCTATCTGCTTGGGGACAAGAATGTGGTTTACAAGCCCAAAGAAAATAGATGGTATGCATTAGGATATCAGAGGTGTGATGCACTTGCAGGGTCGGATATGTGTTGGGCTGCGATTAACGGTTCTTCTTGCGAGATAGATGAAGTAACGTACTGTCATAGATCTATTAGAAAAGTGCTTGAGTGGTACGACAATGAGGAAAGATCCTGGAAAGTTTTGAAGGGTTTAGAAGGACTGCCTAAATTATGGATCGGTTTTAGATTTAGATTGGTGAATTATGGTGGGAAGATTGCGGTTTTGTGGGAGGAGAATGAGGGTGGTATTAGTTTTAAGAAGATGATTTGGTTAGCTGTGATTGCGCTTGAAAGACGTGGCAAACATGAGATTTATGGGAAGATTGAGTGGTGCGATGTTGTGCTTACAGTCCCCAAGACATGTTCTTTCAAAAAAATGATTGCTGTTACTGTTTGATGAGTGAACACACATGAGAAATTACTTGAACATGGTAATAGCATTATGTTTTCAACACGTTTAAGGATTGTTTTTGTTTAATTAATTAGCATTGTAACATATTGCTTCACTTGTAATTTTTAGGCTTTTTCTAGATTATTTTCTCAATTATGCTTCAATTAATTGCCTTTACAATATATCAAAATATTCAACTAAGAGCGATTAAATTACATTATACTGTACCATCACAAACACAATATAATGCAATCGTTCATAGCGATCGTTTTTTTTATATAAAGCAGGAAGCTCTTCATATTTTTAATGACTACCAAACATAAAACAGGAAGCTCTCATATCGTTCTTGATGTATAAAGCAGGAAGCTCTTCATATCGTTCTTGATGTATCAAAGATTTAGTCTGAATAATTTTAGAAAATACTCGTCCAATTAATACAAGGTAGTTTGATTATTATATTGGTTTTTACTCCCGAGGGTTTTCTTCTAACATGTCACCCTCTTCAACTAACCTGAATTCAACCGCCACAAACTGCAAATAGTCTTCTTCGTCACCACTTAATCTGCCATATCTACTACCAAAAAGTTCTGGTTATTTTAGGTTGGTGAATTATGGTGGTAAGAATTGTGGTTTATGGCATAAGAATATGCCTAGTATTGATTTTAAGAAGACGATTTGGTGTGCTGCAATTGCACTTGAAAGACGCAACAAACATGCGATTTATGGCAAAGTTGGAATGGTGTGATGCTGTATTTACAGTCCCCTACTCATTTTTTCTCTACAAGAAAATAATTGCTGCTACTGTTTAGAGAAAGTGGTAATATCATTTGTTTTCAATATGCTTAAGGATTATTTATTTTTGAGTGAAATTATGATGAAGGGTTTTCCCATTGCTTAAAGTAAAATGCTATGTTTTGCCCTCTCTTCTCTTCTCGGTGATACTCTCTTTTTTCTTTGTTCTTCGTTGCTGATTTCATCTTTTCTACTAAAACTCACTTTTCTTTCCAAGCTTTATTCAATCGATAACTACTTTTACTAGAAATCAATTTAATTTAATTTTCAAATTTAAATTTGGTCATTGTTTCACTTGTAATGTTTTTTTTTTTAATTTAGACTTTTCCTAGGGTGTATTATTTTATGTAGTCTTTTGATTCTAGATTATTTTCTAAAATTCACAAGAAAAATATAATATATTCTAGAAAGAATTGCTTTTATAATGTCAATTGAATTAACATTTATCCCCTTAAATATTTTCTATTTTTTGTCATTTTTTGACATAATTGCTCTTTAAATATCAGTTAAGACAGTTATAATTAAAACAAATTTGAAACTATATTTTCAAAATTTCGAAAATACCTAAAAGGAATTAAAAAAAATTTAGGATATCATTTATGGAAAATTTTTTTTTTTAAATATTTTTAAAATTCGTTCTACACTTGGTAGAATGCATGTTTTATGTTCTATGTCCATGTAGAATCTCATTTCTATAGTTCTTCACATATTCTACCAGCCTGTAGAAGTCGTTTTCTATAGGTCTTTATATATTTTACCAATTGGTAAATTACAAGTTCTACTTGATAGACTATATTCTACATGTTGGTAGAATACATCGTCTACCTGTTAGACTAGGTTTTACGTTATTGTAGAATGGTTATTCTACCTATTGACTTCATTCTACATTAACATAAACTACATCTTCAACCAAAATCTGAGAAAATCTAGGAAAATTAGTTAACTCCCAGATATAGAATATATATATTTTATTTTTTTCATGTTTTTTATCAGTTTTTGACGTTTTTTTTTTCTTTTGTTGGCTGTCATCGTTCTCTTATTCTTCTTTCACATTGATCAAGCAGATTTTTTCTATGTTTACATATTTTTTGCTTCAAACATGCTACATATCTATGTGACTTGTGGTTCATGGAGAATTTGTAAACCCTAGAATCGAAATTGAATGAAAATACTGAAAGAAAAAGTGAAGAATACGACCAGACAGAGAAGGAGGAAAAACAAAGAATTTTTTACTTACCGGAAATTGCTTTTCCGATAACTGTAATTGGAGAAGAAGATGGAGATACAGTGAAAAAAAAAGTATCGGGTTTAGGATGTTTAGTAGAAAATCTTTTCTACTTGTTTTTTATTAATAAAACATTATTAAAAAATTAATTAATTTATTAATTTATAGTTAAAGGGTATAATTGAATTAAATTTAAATGAAACATTAAAAAGACAAATTTTATTTAAAAAACATTAAGGGGACAAATGCTAATTCAATTAACATTATAAAAGTAATTCTCTCTATATTCTACTGAGAAGGATTACATAAGACAGTAGCATCACAAACACACAACAATAACATGACCCGTAACATTTCTATTTTGGGTTTAGAAAGATGAACATTGGTGTTTGCGTTTTTGTAACCGACCCAAACGCAGTTGCTAAATTCAATGCATTTAGGACCGACTGGTTTAAATGCAGCGGTTACCGTTGCAAGTGCGAGAGTTTGCGGAAGCGGACATTATTAAGCGGTTTGCACAACTAGTTAAATTAACTTTTTAAAACGAATCCGTTTGCGAGACATTTTTGACTGGCAAACCAGCAGATGTTTTAGCGGTCAAACATAAAATTACTAAAATAAATATCATTTATAATTATAAAAAACATAAAAACTATATTATTATGTTAAATATCAAAATTGCTAATTCAAAATAATTAATAATAAAAAATTATAAATAAATACTAAATAATTATTTAAAAAATAATAAATTTTATAATAACATGTTTTATTTCAATTGTTGGAAACATCACCCAAAATTGTGTGTAGTAATGTAATAAACTATAAAAAAATTGCTCCTATTCATAGATCTTCTGGATTAGTCTTTTGCATGGTGTAAAATTTCTTCAATTGATCTAATCAATTTTTTTGCATGACTCCAACTTAAATCAACTTAAAATTGCTTAGTAATATTTTTCAAAATACGTTCTTTCTGGAGTACACTAAAAAATCTAGGTTCTTTATCTTCAGTTTAGTTTTCCACAATGATCTGTTGAAGTAATGCACATGTCATCTCGTTTGACTATGTAACATTCTGAAGAACAAAAAAAAGAATTATAAGAAACTATTTTTGTAATTAATTGAATTTAATGTGATTTTCATTTTTAAAACGTATATATTTTTTACCTAACCGCTCAGCCTGCAACCGCAAACGCTGGCGAAAAGCATTTTTTTGGATTTCAGTGGTATAAAACGATACATAGTAGTTTGCAGCGATTTTTATGATTGTTATGAAACGCCACTAATCGCTAACAACCGCAAACGCAGTGTTTGCGGGTGATAGCGGATAAATTAGTCAACACCTTAGAGACCGTTTCTATCGACAAAAAAAAAATCCATATTCTAAAACAAAAAAAAATGTTTTCTCCAACTTGAACGCACACTTAAGCTTAAAGTTAAACACTAAGGCATTGATTGGTAAATCTTTTAGAAAAACATTATGTTTAAGCAGTATAAGCAGTGTGATGTTAAAGATATATGCTCTTATTAATGTACACATTTTAAGTGATTGGTAGAGCTGTGAGTAATTCGATATAATTTTTTAAAAAAAAATATTTAATATATTTATTCATATGCGGTATATTATATTTATAATAAATTTTTTAGAATTTTTTATATTTTATCATATTTTTTAAATTATCACTTAATTATAGTAATATTTATAAATTATTAAAATATAAATATATATTTTAATATAAATTTAATTTTTGATGTTATTTCAATAAAATAAATTAATTATATAAAATTATTTTAAATTATTTAAAACATAATGCTTTGGAAAAACTCTATGTGAAAGCATAGAAGAAAAAGCATTTAGAAGAGCATTTGCATCTTCTAAATACTCTCCTAAATGCTCTATTAACAAAAATTGATTGTATGATTTTAAAGCATAATGCTTTTCTAAAAGCTCTACCAATCAAGACCTAAAACAAACTTTAGTTCCTAAAATTACATATGTTCCTAAATAACAATAATTTTAACCTAACCCAAAATAATCTTGTCTAAAACCAGAAAAAAAAAAAAATTTACTGTTAAAAAAGTCAAGTCCGATCCAAATATAGATTCAACATTAGGTGTTTCAATTGAAATTTGTTTTTATTTTATTTTATAAAAACTACACATTTAGTATATATCTGGCTCGATGCTATCACTAAAAGATTTAGTCTAATCCTGATGCTAATCTACTTTAATCAGGAAAACTATTCGTCAAAAAGTAGATTTAGGAAATACTCGTCCGTTGAACAAAAAAAAAAAGAAATACTCGTCCAATATAAATAAAGTAATAATATTTCAATGTCTTTGGAGTTTGATCAGCATCGGTTATTTTCTTTTAACATGTCGCCCTCTTCAACTAACCTTTCAACCGCCACAAACTGCAAAGAATCTTCTTTGTCACCACTTAATCTGCCATATCTCCCTGATGATTTACTGTTGAACTGCTTTGCCCGCATCTCAAGATTGTACTACCCGGCTCTCTCCTTAGTCTCCAAGAGATTCCGCTCTCTACTTACTTCACTTGAGCTTCACAAGACCCGAACGCTTTTAAGCCGCTCTGAGAGTTGTCTCTATGTGTGCTTACCGTTAGGTCTCTGACTATGACTTTTATTGGTTGACTCTTTGCAAGAGGCCAACTCGAGTCTCTAACCCTAACCCTAACACTAACCCTAAAACAAATTGGTTCACTTCATGTTTTAGACCATTTAGGAATAAAGAGAGGAAGCCAAGTGAGTATCTTTTGGTATCAGTCGCAACTTCCAAAAGTTCTCTTTATTCTCCGTCTCTTACCACAGTTGGTCATTATATCTACATGATTGGCATTGACATCAATGGTAACCCCTCGCGCAAGGTATTCTTCCTGGACTGTCGATGTCACACGTGGTATGAAGCTCCAATCATGCGGATAGCCAAGGAGCAGCCTCACACGAGTGTTCTTGATGGAAAATATATGTAGTGGACAAAGACTGCTTTTCGGTCGAGGTTTTCGATCCTAAAACTCAGATATGGGAGTATTTTCCAAGCCCTAGCGTGACAATAGTAAATAAGATCTTAGCCATCAAGGGAAACCTCTATGTGCTTGGAGACAAGCATGTGGTTTATATGCCCAAGGAAAACAGATGGTACTATACGATAGAGGGGGATACGCGTTTCATATATGAAATGTCTCTGGTTGGGTTTTTGGAATCTTATTGCGAGATAGATAACGTAATCCACAGTTACAGGTTTGGAAAAGTGCTGGAATGGTACGACTACGAGGAACAATCCTGGAAAGTTTTGAAGGGTTTGAAAAAACTTTATAAATTATCAAGGATTTACGGTTCTGTTAGGTTGGTGAATTATGGTGGGAAGATAATGGTTTCATGGATTAAGAATGTGCATGGTATTAGTGATGAGAAGATGATTCGGTGTGCTGAGATTGCGCTTGAAAGACGCAGCAAACATAAGATTTATGGGAAGGTTGAGTGGTGTGATGTTTTGCTTTCAGTCCCCGACTCATTTCTTTATCATGGGAAGGTGTTTGCTGCTACTGTTTGATTAGCGAACATGGTCATATCATTTTGTTTTCAATATGTTTTAATGACTGTTTTATTATGATGAAGGAAGGATTTTTCCATTGCTTAAAAGTAGAATGCATCTAACGTTAATCTCTTTTAAAGATGCTATGTTTTTGCAATAACATTATTCGTTGCTTTATTTCATCTTTGTTACTAACTAAAAACACTTTTCATTTCAAGCTTTATTCAACCGATGGTTACTGTTCTTGTCCTGTATTTTTCAGCTTTAGTAGATTAGTAAATGGCTATGATGATGATTTCAAGCTTGTCCTGTACTAACTAAAAACACTTTTCATTTCAAGCTTTATTCAACCGATGGTTACTGTTCTTGTCCTGTATTTTTCAGCTTTAGTAGATTAGTAAATGGCTATGATGATGATTTTGTCTTGCAAATTTCTATTCGGTATTGTTGTAATGTATTCTTTTTATGTAGACTTTATTTCTAGATTATAAGACAGTAGCAACACAAATACACCACAATAACATGATCAACCGTAACATTTCTAAAAAGGGTATATAAAAGATGAACATTAGTGTTTGCGTGTTTGTAATCGACCCAAACGCAAACGCTAAACTCAATGCAATTTAGAGTCCATTTCTATCGACAAAGCCCAAATTATGAACAAACAGAAAAAACAAAATATACACAATTTGTTAAAGAAGAGAGCATTCTCTCCAACTTAAACGCACCATTAAGCTTAAACACTAAAAACAAACTCTGGTTCCTAAAATTACATGAAACTGTTAGCTGTTGTCAGGCTGAGTTTGTTCAAGGAACCACCATTGGTCTATGCAACATCCTGACGTTTGCTTGTCTCTGTTTCTTGCTCGTTCTTGTCCAAGTTTACTCCTTCGAGTAGTGACGGGGCTGACGAAAATCGATTCTGCAACAAGAACGAGAAAGAGAGAAAAACAGGAGCTCTCAATCTACTTTCAAGCAAATCATGGATCTTGCAGAAGAAAAGATTTTCTTGTGTGATTTACCTTGAGAGAGCTGTTTTCAGCAAGAAGCTCTTCATATTGGCTTTTAAGCTTGTTTATTTCTGCTCTAAGACTTGTGTTTTCTCCATTCAACACATCTGCTCTTTGTGCCAGCTCATCACATTCCGCCTGAAACACACACACACACACAAAGCTTTTGATCATTTATATCTCTTGGCTTTGATGGGTTTAAAAATTTGTTTATGCATATACCTGTTTACGCAACCTGGATCTACGAGCAGACTCTCTATTGGATTGCTTTCGTCTCTGTCGCTTAAGCTCTCTCTCGTCCTAATATCCACAACAATCAAACACGCATCTTAAAAAAACAATGGACAAAGTAAAGCAGAGGACACAGTCACACAAACCTGTAACCATGGTTGTGATTGGGAACCATCTACTACAACTCCAGGAACGGCTGAAGAAACATTCCCATGGCTGCTCCAATAATCCATTCCGATGTTTAGATTTGTCGGTGGGCCAGGAACACCTGTAGCTGACACTGGCATGATGGGGACGATCTGGTTCACCGGTAGATTACTTCCATTACGAGGTGGTCCATGAGCAGAATCTGAAGCTGTTTCACCTGAAAGTAAGAGCACCTCCCTGAATAAGTACATTTCAACATTGTAGGTCTATACACACATCATAAGAGATGAGTTATAAGAAAGCTAGATCAACAAACCATCCTTCCCGTTGTGTCTAGATCCCGAGTCCTACAAAATTTTGCAAAAGCAATTCAGTAACATGATCATATCCATAGATGCTCTTTTGTTCTCCTTAAACTGTAATGGTTCAGTGAATTGCTAAAAACTTACATTTTGAGAATTTGCATCACTTCCTTCACTTGAACCATCAGAGGCGCTCTCAGCACTGTAAAACCAGAAAAGAAAAAAAAATCTGCCAGTTTCAGCTAGTCTATAATATAATGACATTATCATAAGGCGAGAAGGTTTTAGTAATGCCAACAAGATTTCGATTTTTCATACAATCATGAAGTCACATGCCTTTTAGAGCAAGCTCCATTAGCAGATGCTCCTGAGCTTTTTCCAGTCTCGCTGTTCTTTCCTATAATCATATTCAAACTTCCCAAGCTTCCTTTTGATCTTTTGATTGGCAATTTTTCCTTCACTTCAGATTGTTTAGCCTCACCGTCAATACCGCTTCCAGTATTTCCCTGAATCCAAAACATTTCTCAAATCAAGATCCCAAAAAAACTAATGAAATAAAAAAGAGGAGAAAATGAAACACTTACAGTAGCTTCAGCCATTCCATTAGGAGAAGGCATTGCATAGGGACTGTATGGATAAGATCCCTGATTTTGCAGCATGGAACAAGTTAACAGAAATGACCTAAACATTCACTATTTTTGAATACATAACCAAAGATCCAACATGTAGCATTACCGGAGCTATTGAAGGATGAGCGTACATGCCACCTGGTGGATACATTGCAACATAAGGATGAGGCGGTGTTCCATAAGGAGGCATCATATGCTATACAAAAAGAGAAAAAAATCAAACAAATTTTTCTTCAGTTGATGTTACATTCAATAACCAGCAGCACAATGGTTCTGGGGAGCCTAACGAACTATTCCCAAGGGCCCAAGATAATATTTCCCAAGTAAACCCATGAAGCTCCAAGCCTCCAAATATAAGAATATTCTAATATCAATCGAAAGAAAAGGGATTAGTTACCTGAACACCCCACATATAAGGGTGAGGCTGAGGACTTGACGCCACGTAACCATGAGGCGGCATAGGAGAATAAGCCTGTTTAAGCCAGAAACAAAAAAAAAAAAAAAACTATGAGCCACTTAATACCTAAAAACGCAAACAAAGAAACAACGACAAAGGAACTCCTTTTACACCTGAAAACCAGACCAATCTGGAGTAGCCATTCCAGCACTCACAGCAGCAGAAGAAGAAGGTTCCTGCAAACACAAGAAACAAAAAAACATCAATCATCAAAGCATGACACTAAAAAAAGACTTTTCTGGATCAATTTCACAACAATGCAGACCTGTGAAGTAACAGGAGCAGGAGCAGGAGCAGGAGCAGAAGAAGACGAATGTGGTGGAGTCTTGGGTTCGTTCTCTTTACCCGATTTCTCCATCTCGCTGCTACCCATTACCACATTCACCAGCTTCTAAACAACCAAGTAGAAGAAGAAGCTTCACACTAGAGCAGAACGAGTTCTGCTTATAAGTTAAAACAAATCCAAAAATCAGGTGTGACAGAGTTGGGTAAGGATTTTCTCCAAATGAACATTGACCCAATACAGTTCGTAAGCATTTTCAACTGTTAAACCCAGAAGCTTAAAAGGTCACATTTTTTGTTTATCTCGAGATGCAAACAAAATTAAAAAACCTAGCTTTTAGCTACCAATGCTGGAGGAGCCAATAAAAGACGATAACACAAATTCCAACAAATCTACTAAATAGGAGTGTTTTAAAGAGACCCTAGAGGAATTACACCGAATTCAAGGGTTGAAATTCAGAATCTAATCGGGGAAGCAATGTGTGAAAAAAAAAAAAAACTAAATATGTCTTGAATTTTTGTTCAAACTGGGATCGGCAGAACAAATACCTCAAGATCGTTAATGTTTGAGCAAACCCAGAGATGCGAAGGAATTAAAAAGCTTTAGTTTTGCAGAAATTGGAGTGAGATTGGGAGAATGAATGAAGTTTTTTTAAGCTTTGGTGATTGGTCGTGTCGTGTTTCTGACGGGGAAGAGGAGGAGGAAGATGCGTGGGCATGACAGAGAGAATATTTACTTAAGTCCAAATCTTTATCATATTTGTGAAATTAACCCCATAAAATCTTTATCATAGTTTTTTACTACAGATAATCTTATATATAAATATCATCATTTTTAATTGATATGGAAAATAACATGTGTCACTTTTTATAATTTAAACATATTTAAAAAAAAAATAACAAAATAATAAATTTTAATATCAAATTTTAAACCACTCAAAAGAATAAACAATTTTCATTAATTAATTGATATTAATTAATATTTATTATATTTTTATATAATTCTCAATTTTTTATGATATTATATTTTAAATAAATTTTTAAGATTTTTTTAAATAAATATTTTAATTTTATTTATAATAACATACTAACATACATAAAAAATAATTATTATTTTTGTTTTTTATATAAGATTTGAAATAGTTAAAAAGACAAACATGTATATTACGTGCAGATATTCACCTAGTTTATGTAAAATTTCTGTGAATAAAAATAAAAAGGCATGATTTTGGACTTTCAGTGAATGAAATTAAAAATTTGATATATTGAACACAGATGTTTATGGGATTTTCAGTCTTATGTTGGGGTCAAGTCTCCTGCAAAACAGAAAAGACGTCAAAAGCCCAAAAAATATGATGTGGGTGTATTTTTCGAGAGCATTCCGACGTTCAAGTCAGAAAACAGCTCAAAAACACCACAAAATAACTATTCGGAGACTGGAAAGAAGTCGGAAAACTCTAAGAAAGAAAATGGACCGAGAATCCATAAGAAAGGTAGGATCTATTCAGGCCTAGGAGTGAGAATGGACTTTTTGCAGTGAAAATAGAGAAAAAGAAGAGTTTGAAGGTAACAAAGCTCCACGGTTTACGGTTTAGGAACCGCCGTGGAGGAGAATGAGATGAGATAACCAGAAAGTTAGTCGAAATTGTGTGAAATGACTGAGCCCAAGAACCATAAGTATTTAGAGAGATATTGTGAGACTTGAGATGGATAAAAGAGTGAACATCTTCCTGTAGGGAAGTATAATGTATTTATACGAAATTACATGAGTCATTTGTGTTACAGTGAGGATAAAAGAAGATGAATCTAATGAAAGAGTTTAAAGAAAACAATATTTGTTACCATGTATCCGAAATAGTATTATACAATATATGACCTATGAAACTGAATCAACTGAATCTAAAATTAGCCTCGTAAAAAAACTCATGTTATAAGAACTAAAAAATTTACATTATCCTCAATTTTTATTCGAACTAAGAAAAAGAAAACTGATCGGGGAAAAAACAAGGCCCAAGATTACAGTTTTAAAATTTTATTCATAGTTTATTAAAATATCAACTAATACTATTAGTCTATTCTTGGTGTGATTCAAGTTTATTCACCCAAAAAGAAATGCCAATGAGAGAGCCTGAGGACAAAAATTTCGAAACCATCAAGATCATAACTGCACAATACAAACAATTCCCACAAAAAAAAAATCTTTGATTTTAGAGGTTTTATTAACTAATCCTGAAAAGGATTGACCCAAAAAAATGTGATCCTTGTACTCAATCAAAGATCATTTCTCTTGTAGAAAACAGCAAAAACACAAAGGAGCTAAAGATACAGAGCAAACCTAGAACGAAGAACACATCATTCAGCTCTTTTGATGTGACAAATCCAATTAAACCAATTTAAAAGCTTCAATAAGCTTTCCAGTCAAATCAACTCCAATGATTCCAGCTAATGTCCCAATAATATTCGAAATACCCATAATTAGGGCCGAATTAAACATAAAATTGATCATGTGTCATATAATAAATTTGGACTCTTATTTTAAAAGATTTTTTTCTTTTTGAAAAAATTGGGTTATAAAATTAAAGAAAAATTTTGAAAAAAAAGTTTGCCATAAGGTTTTGCTCCTCCTTGCACACCAACATATCATATACGAATTTCAAAAATATAAAACACTAAAATTATGTAAATTATATTTCAAATTAAATATGTTGGACCTATGTAGTAGGCGAAATGGACTAGATGAACAATTTGTGCCAATGTCAGCAATGTTTCTTTGCCGCAATATGTATCCAGACAAGTATGAAGAAATATAATCTAAAGTTACGGGCACTAGTGGTCACTGTTGCTTTGCTGACAGTCTACTCAATGGACTGAAGTATGCCAAAAGACATGTTGTAGTTGGAGAAAAACCTAGAGATGAGGTGTTTAATTACAAAGTGTCAAAGAAATTTGTTGAGCAATTATACAAAATCGAGAAAATCTTAACTACAAAACCCTAGAGCCAGCTTCGGTGCATGATTACTTTGCTTTGAGAATTGGAATTTTCTTTGGCAAGGTACTGATGAGATGTCCATTTACAATGACCCGAAAGAGAGGGAAAAATACAAATCTGAACACGGTGTAATAATCTTTGATTTAGAGTGATTAAAGACACAAAATGTGCAATTTGTAAAAATAGCAATGGAGAGTGTGGCCAATCGCAGAATCATAGCTGTGAATGTAGAAGTCATGCTAATAATGGTTGGTGATACAAGAAGAAAATCTAATAAGTTTCTATGGTGTGAGAAGAATCTGACACATCTTCTATAGAATTTCTATTGAATTGACGTTAGACTGGATAAAAACAACTAGTCATGGTCCAATATAATTAGTAATCAGAGGCTTGAAAAATGCAAAATGCAGAGTTTGTGCATTTTTGAAAAATACATCATATCCAAAAAGTAACATTTTTTGAAAAATAACATCATTTTCGTTTTTTTCATAAATTGTTAAAAAATAATTCTCTTTGCAGAATGGAACAAATGGAGCTGTTAACCGAGCCTCGAAAAGCAGGAGACATTTCCAAAGCCGTTAATTTTCTAGATGCTACCCTTGTCTCTCTGGTACCTCCTTTTTTACATTTAACATATTTGAATCACTGATTAATGCGAAATCTATAGTATTAGTATGTTTGTTCTTATGTAGTATATTTTTTTTTGTTTATAAAGAAAAGTCTAACTCCTTGGCTAACTTTGAGAGCAAATCTGGAAAAGATAATAATGCTGCATCAGTGGGAATTATGACAGAGGATTCATACACCAAAAGTGAGTAGTTATGATCTTCGTAGTGGGAAGAAACTTCTATTTTTGTAGCAGTTTCTTTTGGTTTCTCTAGAATGGTTTATTAAGGAGTTACATATATTTGGTGTATGAATTTCCAAGATATAGTCTACAGTTAGTAAAATATTGCTCCTCTAGGTTAAATAATATAGATACTCGAACTTCTAATTTTTACATTTTCTGTCTTGCTCTTGGAACGATCGATGCTTTTCTCTTTCTAGATTCGTGCAGCTAATTCTCTGCAGAAATATGTACCCGTTCTTGTGGATATTGCAGATGTTGCTTTTGACCTTCCTTGCGAATCTCAGCAAGAAATTCACAGACTGTTGCTATATCTTCAAATCAAGAGGAATCATCATCAAATTTTGCAAAGAGTCCCCGACTAAATTGTATAATTTCTGAACTTTGATTCTGACCCAAGCATCCTGTATCCTCCTCCTTCTCCAACAATATTATCAGCTAGACTAACAATTTTAAGCTTTTTTGGTATAACTTGTGAACTCAGAATCTGACCCTCAAGACTAAAGGATCCGGTATCCTCATCAAACCTTCTTCTAATTATAGCTACGCGATCAACATTATCATTTTGACCAAGGCAAGCCCTGAGCAAGTCCTTGAACTTGATGTAGAAAGTGACATTCTTGGCATAGAGTCCCTCCCATCTACGGCTACCACGTTGTCCACAATCTGCAGATCCTCATAGTCCTTAGGTTCTTTCCTACCGTACCCATCAGCTGTAGCAACAGCAAGTTCCAAATATAGATGAATCCAGTCCTTCTCTATCTCTTGCAGCTCTAATTCACTCACCTGACCAGTGACCATATATATTCATCACTACTTTGTTGTTAATGATAAACCTCAAAGCAAAGCAGCAAACTTTGGTTACCTAGTATGTTACCAAGTCGGAAAGAGAAAAAAATTATACACTAAGATCATCCATCCAAAGAACTCATTGGCTTAATAAAAATCGACAAGTTTATTGTAGCCACAAGTGTTAACAGTAATCAACATGGGATCATAATCTGTAAATAAAAACCTGAACGTTTTATTTAATAAAATGATTAAACAATCAAGTGGATCTTGGTCTATTGATTTTTTTTTGAAAAAATAGTTTTTAGTGAATTATGTTTATTGTTGGTTTGCCTTCGGATTTCCAAAGGGTTTAAGCCGGTTTAGTGAAATCAGTTATACCGCGGTTAAAGAGGATTGGTTAGTTTTTCGCAAGAGGTGAAACCAAAAGCAAACACTCTAGACGACGCAGAAGGTTTCTTTAAAAGCAGAGACATGCTTTTGAACAACCAAGATCAAGTCGTTAGCGACAGAGTATAGCAAAAGAAGAAAGGCGGGAAGACTTGGCGACAAAGGAGAGATTAATCAGATGACTTGCAGGTTTGCAGGCGGCTAAGGCGTTTCCTCATTCACGTGATTGTCTCAGACTCTTTGGACCGACTCGGAAAAGCATCGAGTAAGAGTCTTATCCTCAAGAGTGTATAAACATCTCTTTATCAGTCTGAGACAAATTGGAGAGAGAACTAAGAACGTGAGAGAGAGCCAAAGTCTAGGTCTTTGTAAGCTAAACACATTGATTCTAGTGGATTTCCGGAAACCTTTTCCGGCGAGACGTAGCGTCCCTAGTTTAAGGGCGTGAACTCGTAAATCGGTTGTGTGCTCCTCTTATTCTGTTTTCTGTTGTCTGCTCTCTTTTGTCTCAAGAAAAAACCATCGCAAACAAGCTTCTAAGTATCATCAACTTACCCAAATCCTAACAGACTGGTATCAGAGCCAGGTTCTACGGTCGTCAGCCCTGTAGAAGATGACTACAGGACGAGTGGAGTTGGAGAAGTTCGATGGAAGAGGAGACTATACTCTCTGGAAAGAAAAGATCTTGGC